ATTCACAGCTGTCTGCACTGAATGTGAGCAAATGAGCCTGTCAGGTTGAGCTGACTAAACTTTTCTTGTCTTTGGGATGCAAATCCTTTAAGTATATTTAGGTCATCTCTATTTGATTTTCATGGGACATACAATAATTGGGGAAAGCAAGTTGTTCTTCATAAAGGAAAGAAAATGAAAAAGATGGGCTTTAATTCACTTCGTTCAAAGTCACTGTCAAAGTCGTCATCCTCCATGCAGGAACCTAAACATACTGGGCTTCTGCTTTCTTTAGATTTCTGTCAGAAATAGGCTTTCTCTCCATTGCCTTCATCTTTCACTTAAGATTTCAACCATATTGGCAAGTGCCTTGTAGCTGTCGTGGGAGACTCAAGTGCAATCTAGTGACTAGTTTAAATTCCAAAGCGAAAGTCCTGGGCTCACCCTGGTAGTTAAACGCTTTTAAAGCCTGACTGAAATTGTTCATCAAATACCTCACCACTTCTGTATTCTTTACCTTCATGGCCTGAACACCCAGCAAGCTGCTTCCTTTAAAATAACATTCCCCTGACACAAAGTCTCAGAGCACCACTTAAAATTGCTCAGCTCATATTTAATTCATCTTTGGCTTTTCCCAGTTGGAGATGCTTAGGTATATATTATGGCCATCCAACTGGAAAGCCCCAGGTATTCAAAAGCTGGATAAATAACTCTTAATAACATAGAGCGTAAAGTATTTGCTGTAACTCTTAGTCCTCCTTCAGCTCATAGGCAGAGGAAGAAACAGGATAAAAATCAGCACAGTGCTCAGACGGTGCAGCATGTCAGACCTGATTGTCGTTAACACAAATCCCTCTTTACTGATGGTTTATATAATAATTTCTTCAACTTTATGGCTGAGTCATGGCCCCCAGCCTGCCTTAATGTAAATGAAAAATCAGGCATTAATGTGATGTAAGGTTTTCATTTTGACAGATGATGAAATGTATGCTGCGCTGTGTGCAGAGGGATGTGCTGGCTTTACAGAGGGGGACCCAAAGCTCCAGTGGTGGGGGCTGTGCTGGGGAGCCTGGCAGGGCTGGTGGAGCTGGTGCTCACCATCTCCTACACCAGAGAGTGAAGGAGTCATGTCACGTCCCTGATGTCTGACAGCATTCAGTATTGCCTATGCTGCCGAAAGGTCCTGAACCAGCACTGAGAATGAAGAAAGCAGTTTTCTTCCTTAAAAACAACCACCAAACTCAGCAGGACTGGGGATGACACTTTGAAGAACTAGAAGTTTCAGTTTGGCAGCAGCCTTGAGAGACATGGGTCTGCAGACCAAGGGGTATGTGAGAGTAAGGGTTTACAAAGTGGGTGCACTGATTTATTTGCTGGTTCCCCTGGTCATCAGAGGGCTCTGTTCCTTACCACAGGGCTGTTGCCTTCCTTGCCCACCTCCAGTGCTGCCTGCGTATTTCTGTATTAGATGCTGATAGAATGCATTTTAGACTGAGCAGAGGTTTATATTCTGGCTACTTGGAGGACTTTGCATGAGAGGTGAGCTTCTACCATCGGGCAGTCTGTCTGTCAAACTGTATTTTCTAGTTAAAAAAAGACATGTTTGAGGGTGTTTCTGGAGAATATGGTCTCATGAGCTCTTTGCAGCTGGATTTCTGAGATCAGGCTTTTCGAGAATATTCAAATACAGATCGGGGAGGAGAGATGGGTGTGATTTTCATTAGCGGTAAGGTTTATTAAGCAACTATTATTAGGTGTGTAACAGCTATTCCCAAATGTAGAAACCATTGAAAATCTGGTGTGTGGCTTTCAAGGTAAAATCGCAGAACTGACTGCAATTGAAAGCCTTAAAATTTCACAAGACTTTTTAAAATTCATTGTTTAATTCCAGTGAGGATTGTATGTGCGATATGGTTGGATTGAGATCATATAAAGAATTTCTTAGCAAGTGGTTGGGATGACTTGCAGAATGTACTTTTCATGAGCAGCAAGACCATGGCAGAGAGTCTTCTGGAAACTCAGACCAACTCTGGGGAAAGCGAAGACTATTGGTGACAACTGGAACTGGACAGTATAAAAAGCTCTAATTGAACAGCCCTGTGATGGAATCACAGTGCGAAATTTAAGGACTCTGCTTAGTCTTTTCCCACATGTTAATGGAAAAAAAAAAATTATAACACTTAATTATTCAAGAAGACAGCCTGTATATTCCCCTGCTTCACCAGTGCTTACAAGTCCAAACAAATCTTCTCCAGTTAAACACCCTGACTGTGGTAAGAACAGGAGTTTCATGAGTAGTGACAGCAGAATTTTAATTCTGTGCTTCTTATGTCTCTACTGTGTCATGTGTTTAGTCTTGCCCAGTTTAATTCAGCAAACTCTCCATTGATTTCAGGATTGCAATTTTTAGCTCTTAGCCAACACAGACACTGTAGTTTATATTTTATATTTTTATTCTGAGTTCTGATGTGATAGAGGTTTCAATTGGATACCATTTGCTATGATCAGAAGTGTGCTTTCAAATATTTTTAAATATTTTATACATTAGCACTCAAAGGGAAGCAGAGCATAGAAGAAAAATAACTGCTACTTCAGCTTCTTTTCTGTGACTGCTGATGAATTAATGATTATTTTTTACATCCCTTGTACCAATAGCAGGCATGAAAGGCTTTAACATTCAGGATACCCAAAAACATTAGAAGAAAGAAGCCAAGGTGGAATTCTAGATTAGTGGTGATGAGCTGGGGCCAGTCTCTTGGAGGAGGGGAGTTATGTACCTGCCCCGGGGGTCTTTTTTCCTACTTGTTGCATTTGGACCCATTAAACAGTCAAAACTTGTGTAAGAATCTGAGTATATATATGTATGTGTGTACATATGTATGTATGTCTATAGATGGATGGGGCAGGGGAGACAGGAAGAAAGCAAGCACTGGTTTATATATTTGGATTTGTATAAAGGTAGAGAAATCAAAGTCTTTGATATTGAAATGACAGACTGACTGAATTAGGCAAAGAAATAAACACAGCTGTTCCTCCCAAGCAGGAAAGGGAGAGAAAGGTATCCAAGAGCCCAGGCCACCATAAGCTGTTGATTAACCAGACCACTTTAACTTCCTCTGAAGTACTGAGCGTTTTTAGAGTGCCCTGAAAATCACAGAATCATAGACTTGGCTTATCTAAATCAAATATGGTACTATTTTCCTCATCTCTTTGTTTTATTAGAGTTTCCATTTGACATTGGTTTTGCTTTGTGTCTTCAGTTTCAGTGTTTCAGAAGGCAAAGCAGTCTGAAGTGCTGTAGAGCCTGGCTGATCTTCTTCAAGCCTCTAAAGCTACCTTCAATGACTGTCATATTAGTGGGATAAAGAAAGGTACAGTGCTCCATGGAACCAGTCTTCTTTCTTTCTGTGTTTATACTCTGAAATAATTGCTCACGGGTTTAAGTGTATGCTGAAACATCAGTTTAAAAATTCTTTCCTTTGATCTGAAATACCTGATAAAAAAGCAAGGGTTTTCTGGAGTCTTTCTTTCTATGCTTCTGATATTTTTATTTCATTTTCCAGTCAGAATGCCTCTATTTTGTTTATCTTTTATAGTGCACATGTAATAAATATTAGTTCACAGATGAAGATAAAATCTCAAAGTGATTTGGGAAAAAAAAATTAACAAAGGAATAGTGGAGAAAAAACCCAGTAACATGAGAGAAAATGTTATTTATGCTTGTACAGTGTTTATCCATATATTTATGAACAAACATCAGCTGTAACCCAGCTGTAACTTTGCCCTGTTGTCAGCCAGTTACAAAAGTAACAGTACTCTATTCATTGTCAGCTATTTAAACAGACTCCTGAGATAGGAACGATGACATTTTCAAAAATTTGTTTCCTGTTTCTTACTAAAGGCTGGTGTCTCTCCAATATGTTGCCATAGTTCCTATTTACTCTCAAAGCACAGTAATCTGTTCCCCTCATTCCCAGTTGCCCACCCATGCAAATCTTACATGTGAGACTTGTGTAAAATGTAGGCTTACCCCAGCATCCTTATAGCTGTACGTGAAGATTCTGCCCGGACCTGTAAACCCTGTGTTCATGTGTGTGCCCTGTGCTTGCTGTGGCCATGCCGGGAGTGGGACTGGGCAGGATGAAGAGCAGGGAATGATTGACCGTCCTGAGCTGGGAGAGGAGGAAGCAGCTCAGGCTGCGCTCATAACCTGAAAGTCTTTGGAAGTTGAAAACAGTTGCTCTTTCCTCTTTAAGTATTACCCTCACGTTTCTCTGTAAATCCTCTCCTAACAGTGGGTATGATGTCCCAGCAGCATTAGCAATGAGCCAGGGCACTGACGACATTACCATTTCTTTTTAACAGCAAAATATTTTGAATGAGCAGTGCTGTGTCTTGCAATATTAGTCCTAGATGTGAAGCCCATAAATGGTGCAGTGATTTCCTCACTCAGTTACTAATTGGCCCGTGACAGTGACATTGACATTGCAGTTGCAGGCACATGCAGATTGGAAATTAATACACTGAGATTGATAGTTATGACAGCATATAAAAGTCAGACCATCCAAGCTCTATTAAATCACTTAATAAAAGCTGAGTGAAAGCACCTAAGAAGCATGAGAAAACCTTGGATTACTTTATTTAAATTTGTTACTTAATGAAAACATAAACATTTAAAATCCACAAATTTCTTAACTAAATTAACCAGAATTATTTTAAGGGTACAATTTACTCAGCCAGATCATCAGCCAATGCAGTCTCCATTTACATGGATAGACCTATGCTGTCTTACACAGCTTGAGCTCTACATCATGCTGCTGATAAAGTCATACATCTTTTTTAAGCATGCTGCATTTGGAGCATGATTTTTTTTTTTTGGTTACAGCTACATATATGTTGGTCCTCAGGAACTTAGAAACTTTTTTTTTTTGTTACAGCTACATATTTGTTTATTTGTTTGTACTTAGAAACCATAAAAACACATTTAGTATATATATAAAAGTTCAATTATGGTAACTTACCATTCTGTAAAGTTTATCCTCCAGATCCTGATTAATTCTTTGTAAGGCTAGGTAATTGTTTTGTATCCTAAAACAAAGATGATATCATGTGATTGAAGGCATTGTTTTTCATGTTGTTTTTTTACTGGTAATTTTCACATCAGTACAAAACCTTGGCTTGTACTACTTGAAATCTATTTTCTTATCACTCCTGTTGCCAGTCAGTGGTTGCCTTTGAAATGTAATTGCCACCTACTTACTAAGGAAAGCTTCCTTGTCATGTTTGCTTACTATATTTAGTGACAAATTCCATCAGGAAGTGCAAATATGTTTGCCATTCCGCACTTGTGTGCAGACATGCATTACAGCATAGGAACTTACGCAGATTGTAGCTTTACATCAGGCTCAGGAATAGTGTGTCATAGAGGAAGCTTGAGCTGTATGCTTAGAAAGTCCAGAGAAGATTTATGGAGCTCTCTTAATAAGGAGAATTGCATCAGAAAACTATTGCCTGTAGCAAAAGTCACACGTGGACATTACCACATGACTTAGAAGAGAATATTCCTTCTTTTGACAGAAGTTCAAGGAATTGTTTCTTCTCAGGAGCTAAACACGTTTTCTTTCTTCAGGAAATACACTTAGATAGCTTAGCCTGGAAAAGGTGGGTATTTATTTTTATCAGCACTAAGGGGTTGAATGGAAACAAAAAATGAGACTTCCCTGCTTATTCCAGAGTGATACACCAAAGAAAATTTCAGTCTGTACATCTTTACATTGTGTAGATGGTAACCTTGGTATTGTTATGAACAAGCTGCATGTCCTGTGTGAAAAACATTGCTATTTTGGTAGTAGCTGTGCCTTTCTCATCACAGAAGGTGAGGAGGTTAGCTCCTTGTTCATGTATGTACATATCACCTCAGCAGGATGTATAACAAGTGTAAAAAATGTTGGAAGTTCGGCTGTGAAAAGTCTGAATACATCTATATGTTTGTACTGGGAATCATAGGTCAATAGGTCAAAGTATTTTCAGTGGTGAGTTTATTTTAGTTAATGGGCAAGTGCGTTGACTGTAAGAGTAAACTCAGATATAGTACACATTCATTCAGCAGACAGCCACTTCCTCTGAGAAGCCTGGATCTGGGTGTAGTTTCCGTGATGATCAGGAAGGGACTGGGATTAAAGAAGTCTTTTTGGCTTATCATATGGTTAGGAGTGGCCGTTGAAATCAGAACGAATTCAACCCATGCCAGGGCTGGACCATCGAGGGGTTCAGCCCATCCCTTCCTAGAAGTGAAGTGTCTCTCCCTGCTTCTGTTGCCATGGAGATTTTCTTTCCAATTAAATGATCAAAAATTTTCCATTCAGTGGCAGGCCAGTGGCTTGTGGTGCCCCTTGTGAGGGGTGCAGAGCTCTCACTTGGGCTCTGGCTCCGAGTAATGCCGTAACATCTGCTTCACAGAGCTAGGAGGAGAGGTCTGTGCCGAGGACAGCCGCTCCGTGGGCATCAATAATGACAATCCCCATGGGTGAAACTCCTCGGAGTACCAAGGGTCAGCCCAGATTCAGGGCAACCTTTGCAAATGTGCATTGCGAGCCTGGGGGAATTTTCAGCATTGTCATCTAAGTTTTACAGAGCTGCCGGGCAGAGGTTTCCTCCTGGTAAGGAGGATCTGTAGTAAAGAGTGTTTGCTGTAGTGGTGACCCAAATGGACTGAAAATCTGTGATCAGACCTGTAGCTTGCTCGTTACTCACCAATTCTCACAGTGCCAGTGTGTAAACGTCCAGGTGATCTGAAGGATTGACTGAAGTTTACAGATCTCTGCGTGGTCCGTGCTCCTGTTAGATGCAGCATTTGCTGCTAAGCCTCTGTATAGACATTTATTTGTGCAGCTCTAGGTATGCTTGGGATTTTCACAGCTATTTAGCCAGAGTGAACAGAACAGAGAGAAATCTTAGGATACCCTGTACCCAACTTTTCATGGCAAAGGAGAGGGCAGAAGGATGATCTTGGTAAACCAGTGAAAGCAAGGAGGCTTAAACTGGCTTTGCCTGCTAACAGCTGCTCAGCACTAACACAGTTATGTTTTGCTGGTAAGGTTGTGTGGCATCGTGCAGGGAACAAGGATGTAGAAAAATAAGATAGGGCCTGCTGTCCAGCACCAGAGGTGCCCCAGCATGTTTTCCATTATGGTCTGCAGTTTTTCTCTAGCAAGGCAAAATAGAACAGGTTAAACATGCTTTGCACCTTGGTAGCTTGTGGCTCAACTAGAGATGGTGTAAAACTGATGTGAACTTTTTAGCACCTGCAACCTCCTAAAAGTTTGCATGGGTTCAAAAACATCTGCATAAATTCCTGAAAGGGGAAAAAAATGACAGGTTCAGGACTTTTCCAGCTCAGGCCTCTCTGTACTCCAGTCTGTTCTGCAATACAGACCTATGTGGAGAAATCAAGGGAGACACTGAAGTTTCCCTTTCCATATCTTTAAGATTATTAATTACCAGCAGTAATTATGACTTAGATATCTGGCTTATGACAGTAGCAATGCATCACTGGGTTTGCTCCTCAGCTTCTGTTGACACTGGTTTTCTCTTGATCTGGATGACTGGAAGATTGGTTACCATTAATATAATTGTTCTTGGCTGGCAACACCTCCATGTTGTAGATGGTAGAGGGGTTTTACACGGTTTTATTACAGTCTGTTTCTCTCCTGGTAACTTCTCTTGTCTTTGCCCATCAAATTTTCCTCTGTTGTATGCTTAGGTGAAAGCAGCCCACAAACCCTAGTGCTCTAACACACTAATTTTGCACTGAAAAAAATGACCATATCCCAGTAAAATCAAATCCAGTCTAAACAAAAAATCCACAGGAAGTAGAAAGCTGAGCTTCAAAGAAGAGTGTTTCTATTGAGAACATTATGGAAAGGTAGTCACAACAAGCACAGACACGTGCACATATAGACAAGCACGTACACATGCACATAGACGCATAAAACCCAAATTGGAAACCCACTGCGTCAAAAGAAGTGTCAGCAAATGTGGGTGGCAAGGAGAGAAATGGACCCAGAAATATATGGAAGCAAGTGTTAAAGGGATAAAAGAGGAACAGGGTAATCAAATCAGTCTTGTGCAACACTGTAAAATAAAGGAGGACAAGGGAAAATGATTCCAATTTGAAAATGATATGACCAAATGGTAACTTAACCCTGTGTGCAGAAAAAAATACATCTGGATAGCCTGAACCTTGTGAAGCTTCAAACATGTTGTAAATCTGTCTTCTCTGTAAATAAGGTGAAGAACAGGTCAGCTTCACTACCCTGTGAAACTGTTTTAAGAATAAACTCTTGTGAATCAATAACATTATAATTTCTGATAGCTTTTTGTGTTGTTCATATTGTTAGGTGATACCCATGTGCTTCCAGCTGCACATCTGTTCATGCATTAAACGCATATTTAAATTCTCAACTAAATTAGGGCCTGATGAAAGTATTCTGACCACACTGAACATTCCATATCTGTGCTCCAACCCAGCAGGCAACACACTTATCTCTAAGACTGCAGATCACCACTGAAGAGGAAGTCTGCAAAAGCCTCTGTTTCTCTGCTTCCACTCAGTCTCAAGCCCTCTGAAGGCCACAAAATATATCTCAAGTAAAACACAGGTTTGGGCAGACTTTCTCTAAAGAAGAGAATTTCACCCAGAGTACAGTTTAGCTTTGAAGGGTGGCTCTTAAAATAGTAACTTCTTGTTCAAAAAACCTTTTCCCTCTCTGATATCACAAGTTATACCAAATCACTTATGTAAACAAGAGTTTTTCTCCCATTTATTCCAAAGTGAACACAGCTATAGGATTCCTGTTCAGAAAACACCCACAGTCCATGAAATGTCTTGCTTTTGGTGAAACAATTATCTAAGGGGGCTAATCTCAGAGCTAAATATATGCTTGTATGGGTTTATTTCTTGTGTCTTAACTCTACTCTCTGGTAAAAGCTAGGATAGGGACCTCGTCAAGCCGTTACCCAGGGTAGGGTCTCAAGGAGGAAACCCAACATGAAATTTGGAGTCCAGTTTTGGTTCCAAGGTTGGTACATGAAAAGTTTTTAAATTTTAACTTAAAAAATACATGCTGATCACATCAGAAAGGGGACCACTGTGAGGTGTATGAAATCCCCAATCTCTTTTCAGTCACTTTTCAAAGCTGAACCTATGCTTTACAGTTAATATTTTCAAACCTACTCAGCCCTACCCGGCTTTTGCTCCCACCAGAAAGAAAGAAAAAGACAACCTCTATATTTTTGTAGAGTGGTCAAAAACTTGACCATTGAACTACATAACTCACCTCCTTGCTTGTATAAGAGGCCTGGCAGCAACACAGGTAATTCTGGATGAGTTAAGACAATAAAGGCTTTCAGAAAGGAGTAGAAAAGGATGCCCATTCAGCCTCATGGAAAAATTGTGCCCTTTACAGAAATGGAAGTTTAATAACAGAAATGTTCTCTAGTACACAAGTGGAATCTTGTTACGGAGGGCTTATTTATTAGGGGAGGTTGAATTTCTCTCTGTGTGCAGTGAATAAATCAAGAGACACATTATTGAAACTAATACCAATTCCTTGTTTTTCTAACACTGGTTTTCCTTTGTGACATGTTGCTGACAGGCGTTTGGATGGCAGTTTTGCTTCAGACTTGTGGTATGCCTTGCTACTCTCAACAGAAACGTTTTTAAAGCTCACCTCGTAAAATATTTTGGGCTTCCAATATGATATGTCTTCAGGGGAGTAATCACTTGCCTGAAACATAATTTTTAATGTAAGTTTTCTTCACAGTATGGTACAGTGCTCCATTAGAATGTTGGAAAGTCAGTTCTACCAATCTGTTGTTTGGGTGTGAGCACTAGACTTGGCTATGAGCAAAGAAAGGCTGCATGGCCTGGGTTTTGAAGGGTGCTTAACTCATCAGTGCCCAATGAAGTTGATAAGAAGCTTCCTACTGACATGAAAGCCCTTTTGTTTTAACAGAAGTAGGATGGTCAGCATCTCTGCTAAATATGACACAAGATTTATGGCAGCCATGCCTGAAAAAGCTTTTCAGGAGAAAAGAATACCTGTGCTTCCTGTCCTTAAAGATGAAATATATTGGAACAAAACTACGTCAAGGGTCAAGTTGCTTTCAATAGCTCTGCTCTAAGTGAAGTGATAGGAAAAATATTGTTGGCAAGGAAACAATATGGAGAATCTTCAGACTGCTCTTGATAGATGTGTGTAGATTTCAAGGTCATCATGACACCTGCTTATTTTGGGGTTGTTTTAAGAAGACTCCCCCGTTAAGGAAGCATTGAAGTTATAAGACCACACTAGGATGTTTCCTAATTTAAGGTCTTACAGCCTCTTTCTTTTGAAAATTTGCATAAAATGGTTCAGTTGACTCAGTTTTTTGGTGGTTTCTGGCTTTGTTTGGGTTTGATTTTTGCTCTTTGCAAAGCATGAAAAATATTTCTTTGGGTACAGCCCTGGAATGATTTGTTCTGAATTTTGTTTTGACTCATCCAATTAACAGTTCAGTTACCTACATCAGTTTAGGAAAGTCCTCACAAGACATGCAAATACATTCCTGCATAAATGGATAATGGTTACTTCAGAAGTTTTGCAAACAAATGAAAAAATGGATATTAAGAATCACAGATACATTTAAAGCTAGATTACAGACCATTTTAATCAGTACCAGGAATGTCAGGACTGCATGGTTATTGTAATTTGTCATTACCATAAACTAGGCCTCTGATTTGCGATAGCACTGTACCACAGCTTTGACAATTTTAAATAATAGGTTTTAAGTACAGTTCCATTTTACTTGGGACTAAAAAGCAAATTATTTGATGTAGCATAATGTGAAATGTCATTACACTATTTGAGTTGAACATAGTCTAAACTTTGAGTGATTGAGGGCCAAATTCTATTCTCTTGTATCACAGCAATGGATAGTAACAACAGAAAATATGTAGCCAAACACAATAAAAAGATCTATATGTATATATATGGTGTTAGAATATATATGGAGTATGTTTATAACCTTTGTGTGTGTAACACAACATGACACTAACCCACATGTATATTTACACATAAATGATGTCATATATGTACCTGTATACATATATTTCTATTTGCATGTTTACTTTCAATACAGACATACCTTACAAATCACATGTAAATAACTTCATGTTGTATAAGTGAAATATATATATTCAGTGTGAAAACATAATGTGTAATCAAAAAATAAGAAATTATGTATGTATGAGACTATAGGCTTATATTTTTTCTTACGTCTTTAACACAGACACTTGTAAATTCCTAATAACTGTTTTATTTCAAAAAGTTAGTTACTAACCTTCTCAGTTTTTCAGTTACTTTTTCAAGTTCCTCCTGAGCACGTCTCAATTCTATTTCAAGATACTGACGTGTAGAATCAAATTCCGTTTCAAGCATTTCCAGCTTATGGGTAGTGTACGATAGACGCTTTCGTAATTCCCCCTTCTGTTCTTGCAAAGTACTAGAAAAACAAAGACCACAGCTGTAGAATTTAGCTGCTCCCGAAAAGCTTTTAATGATCCACTCTTTGACCAATTCCCTACAGTATAGGTTGGCATTAAGCCAGAGAAGTGTGCTTAATAACTTGTTTACTGCACTTTGAAAATCTTCTGATTTAGACAGTTGACTATCTTCCCATCTGTCTTTTCTAGTGCATTCGTTGCTAATATCTCATTAACCATAATGGAATATTTTGTGAAAGAATCCTCATTAAAATACAAAATACAGTCTAGAGTTTGGTTTCACACAGGACCTTTCATTTAGAGTTACCTTAAAATACTATGACTGAAATAGCAGATATCAGTAGAGCAGCAACTCTAAATGAACTGTACAAAAATCTTTCCTTGCCAATAATCCAAGTTATAATATATTTTGTGGAGGAAGAAAATTTTGTCTCATTGGATTTAACTTCCACCCCAATCCCTGGCCATAGAGCTGCTAGAGATGTTATTCATCCAGAGAATGGCAATCAATTAATCTTGTAGTAATTTTATATTTATAGCTTTATCCCCATTTTTCCACTTATTTGGGAGCAAAGACTTCCTAGCCTCAGGTTTGACCCTTAATTTTTCACAGTATTCTCACTAAAAAAGTTATGCCCTGCTTGTAAGCTAGCTTCAGTTACATTCCTTGACAAAACAAAGCTCTAGGCACAGAATTTGGAGGGGTGTTTTCATTTTGTTTTCTCTTTATTTCAGAGATGACATAAGGTAGCATAAAGCCAGATCCAAGCATAATTTTTATCATGAAGGTCCAAGCGCCATCTGCAACCAAATAGTCTCCTTGATTTTGCAGCAACAAACCTGGGGATCCTTCCCCTGCTTTACTGGAGACTGACTTCAGGTGAGCCAGTCTGTTCTTGCCCCAGTTCTTGTCTGCACAATGGAGATCATTCATAGAATCATAGAATCATAGAATGGTTAGGGTTGGAAGGGACCTTAAAGATCATCTAGTTCCAACCCCCCTGCCATGGGCAGGGACACCTTCCACTAGACCAGGTTGCTCAAAGCCTTGTCCAGCCTGGCCTTGAACACTTCCAGGGATGGGGCATCCACAACATCTCTGGGCAACCTGTTCCAGTGCCTCCCCACCCCCTCCGTGAAGAATTTCTTCCTGATATCTAATCTAAACCTCCCTGATTTCAATTGGTGCCCATTACCCCTTGTCCTGTCACTACAGGGTCTTGTAAAAAGTCCTCTCCCAGCCCCCTTGTAGGCCCCCTTCAGGTACTGGAAAGCTGCAATAAGGTCTCCTCGGAGCCTCCTCTTCTCCAGGCTGAACAAGCCCAATTCTTGCAGCCTTTCGTCATAGCAGAGGTGCTCCAGCCCTCTGATCATCTTCGTGGCCTCCTCTGGACTCGCTCCAAGTGGTCAATATCCTTCTGATATTGAGGGCTCCACAGCTGGATGCAGTACTCCAGGTGGGGTCTCACCAGGGCAGAGTACAGGGGCAGAATCATTAGTCTATTTAGTCTGTAAGCTCCTGAGTCTGCTGCATGTTTGCCAGTTGCACAGCAGGACAGGGTCGCAGTCGGAGCTGGTATGTCTGGAGGTGACTAACTCGGTTCAGGTATTGCAACCTCAGTATTGAGCTGATATCTTGGCTTCAGGTGGGGGCTATGAGTCACTACAGAACCAGAGTCTGCTATCACCTAGAGACAAAAGGGCTACCATGTGATGCATTGCGAATTGCCTTGATTTTTTTTAATAATATAATAAAAATAATTCCTTATAAAAGAATGGGAAATCTTGATCCCCTTTGATGTCAAGTGAGTACTGCCATCAACTTCAGTAGAATAGTATTTTGGGTCTTAAATTTGACAAGAGATTTGGGAGCAACATGCCATTCCTCAAGAAACGCTTATCTGAGCTGGCATCAGTTGGACTGCCTTCTCTACAAGCTGTGATAGGAGCTGCAGTATGTTAATGAGAAAGCATTACAATTGCTGCTTACTTGATCCATGCAGCTTAGATCTAGAAAACAGTCTAATGTTTTGCCAACACAGTGCTCTATTTCAATTACACACATTACGTGGTTACGGTTATACTTAGATTACCACTTGTAGTCACATTCTCTTAAAATAATATATTCTAATTCAGGAATTTAATGCAGCTCCAGTTAATGCAATCATTTAGTTTTTATATTCCACTTGGTGAATAAAACCTCCAAATTATCTAGGGAAGTGAGAATCTGGACCCATGCTGCTCATTTCTGCATGTTCTCATTGATGACGTTGCCACATCATATTGCCTTTCACTTGCTCTGATTCTGGCCCGTTGTTCTTGCTACTCATCTGCTCATCCTGAGAAAGCAGAGTGGTCAGTTTTCCTTCCTGTAGCCTGGCAACTTGGATTTTCTACTGGAAAGTGGGAGTTACAGTGTCAAAACTGTTTTGCGTGAAAAGAGAGTTGATCTCAAGTTTTCTGCTGCTCTAAAAATCTAACCATTAGGATTTGTATAAAAAGTAGATAGTAGGTCCTCCAGCTATGGTTTTGGATAAAAATGCCTAGGCTGCTGCTCTATGCTCAGCATGTGCTATTAATGCAAGTTAAGCCAGACCAGGGGTGGTTACAAAATCATGCTGCACTGGGGAGTTTTGGCCACAGGCAGAGTTTTACTTCTGGGAGGAAGAGGGGCTGTAGGGGTACAAATATAATGGGAAAGCCAGGGATGTTTAAGTCAGTGATAGTTAGAGGCTGCTTAACAAAAGAGGGAAAAGAGAAAAGTTAATGGCCTTCTGTAACTTTTTCTGCTTTCTCATGTAGAGAAAACAGACCCTCCTTGCTTTGGGTCTCAGTTGCGTGAAGATTAGGTAGGAGCAAAGAACCTGGTACATCAAATGAAGTTGCTTCTGCATATACCTGTATGCCCACACCTTTCTATGTCAGGAAATTTGAGGTTCGATATGTGGGTTCAGGGTAAATCTTGATCCTCAAATGGAAGGCAGTGTTGGTCTGAGATGCCAAAATGTGCTCTGGGATTAAGGTCTGGATGGTTTGCAGGTTTTGGTAGCCTGAAGCTTGTGCTAGGGCCCCAGTTCAGCAAACATTTGAAGGATAAAGTTAACTTCAAGCCCAGCTTTTTTTTCCTTCAAGGTAATTTTAAAATGTTTGGATTCTTGAATTCTCTGCTTTCAGAATGGGATAGTTCATTTCACTAAAATCCAGCCTTTTCAAATGAGCTTTACTGAAACAGTCTACATATATGCACTCCTCCATATAATGCTTTGGGTAGTAAAGTGTAGCTGTAAGTTTGTTAAAGATAAGAAAAGATACTCCAGTGGTTAAGGCACAAGTTCAAACATCAAGGTTATTTTCATTCAGCAAAGCATAATTCTGAAAAAGCTGTACTAATTTTCCCTGAAGCTGGAAAAATGGGATGGCATCCTGAAACCCTCCCAAACCTGGCAGAACTCCTGCTTGGTGTGTACTTTTATTCATCTGAGACACATAAAACCAGCTGGCTGTTTTTAAGAGGACTTACTATTTTCAGACAGCAACAATAACACCTGGTTTATGATATTACTTAAGTTGTAGTATTAGGTACATAACAGTGTATCATAATTTAAATAGATGTTCTCAGAGAGAAAGGTAAAAATTCTAGAAACAAAGAAATCATGTTCTGAGAAGGATATGTTGAATGGCAGAAACTTATAGCCACTTCTATGGGGAAAAAAGAAAAAAAGAGGAAGAAAGAAAAGACCACAATTGGGAAAGCACTTAACCATTTGCTTTAATATCCTTCTGGAGCCAAGCAAGACATGAAAAGATAGCTAACTTTAACCAATGACACAACGAGACTTATGGTTATGGTTGGAAAAATAGGGAAATTTTCTTGAGTTTGGGGCTGAAACCATTGGATGGCTACTAATAGCTGTAACACTGCAAGCAGATTTCCCAGGATTCCCAGAATAGCTTTTTTTTCTGCATTAATTGAGTCTTATCTTGATACATTTTTGATTTAAGGTAAAACCTATTGTTTTCTCTTACTTTCAGTTATGTGTGAACAAACACCTAAAAAGCAAAGGCAACGTGAGAGAAACAGTAGAAAGAAGAACATGCAATGTGTCAAATTTAGTAACTCTAATAGCAGGATTAGAGGGTCAAATTTTTTTTATACAAATCTAAGGTATTTTATGATTTCTATTTTTTTTTCATTAACCAGGTATTCTTTCTCTGAAAACCTTTCCCTTATTGTTAGCTTCCAGTGGTATGCCATAATGCTATTCCTGAATTCTTATTCTTTAATCTGTGGTGCATTTTTTGTTCTAGAAGTCTGGACTTTTCTTAAGGAGTGCTTAATTTTGTTGTGGACCCCTGCAATTTTGGTAATGGTAATTCAAATAGAGTTAAAAAGAGGAAAAAACAATGAAAAATATTAAAAGTAATGAAGACAAACATTTAGCATTTTCCCTTTTCTCTAAAACAGCAAACTCTACAAATGTTGCATTTTGTTTCTGCTTGTCACACACCAGTTAATTAGAAAGGTTCACTGCACAATTTTTTAAATGCTTGTAAAACAGTGTATATTGTAATTCATAATTTATCCTGTATGGCTAGTCATCCCTCATGGTTTTTTATTATATATAATAAGGAACATATATGTATTCAGCAAATATATTTACTTTTATATATATGTATGCATATTAGTTGTTTAAAGACTAAGAAAATAATTCCATGGAAAAAGTACAGCCAGGAGAAGGGAGAGGACTTATTTGTGAATAAAAATTATTATTATTGGGAAATCTGGTAGCACTTTGTCAGAAAACTCCAATCCTATATTCCACGGAATTTCTGAAACTGACAGCTGGGAGGCATGAAGGATTACTTGTCAGGATTAAAAATCCTGGGGAGTAGGACCTTTTGCATGAGTGGTTCTCTGTTTCTTCTAATGATCTGCAAATTCCTGCTCCTGTGACAACCAGTGGCAACTCATTACCCATTTTGCTTCATTAGAATATTT